AGGGGGGGGCATGCATGCATGGTGAATGAGGTTGTGGTGATTGATGTGCTGTGGCGGTGCTACCTGGGTGTGCCGGTGAAGGGTGATGTGAAGGGTAAGGAGGTGTGATCATTGCATTTGTTCATTTGAATTATTAGCGACTGGATAGATTCCCTGCTCCTGTTTCCGTTTCTGCCTCTGCTCCTGTTTTTACTCTTACTGTTATAAAGAGATGATTTAGGCTGTGCCTTTCTCCCCCTGATTTGGTTGATACTTGGGGTAAGGTGAGGTCGATGCTCGCCTGGTCTTGAAAGGGCTCAGAGATGGTTGTGCAAGTCTCAGACCAGTATCCTACTGCCTTGACTATCTAAATTCATTGTGCTCGTCATATCATAAATCCAGTAGGACGGACGCATTGTAAGTCATGCCTTATTACTTACTGGGACTCACCTTGAACACCCCGCGACATGCAATCGACGGACTGGTAATAGACAAATCAGCGCATTGAGTATAAGATTGCTCTTGCTTGCTCGAACTCGATGAACAGTGAGGAACCAACACCACCTACACACGCAAACCACTCCTTATCTCTGGATATATAAGACTAGTTAACCACAAGAACACCACAGAGAATCTCGCATGCCGACGCTACCGGGTGACCCGTAAATTGGATGATACTGGTACAGGTACAGACACAGAACCGAGTCAGACCGGCTCGAATCGAGATTGGACTAAATAGACAAGAGGGATAAATGCTTGATTGAGACTAATTCAACATAGTACAACACGGCTCGACAGTGCCAGTACCCCGAATAGGAATCACAAGTCGATCTAGGCCTGCTGGGCGGCGCGCTCAGCCTCCAGGCGGGTGTAGTAGTTGTCACGGGCGCGGACGCGGGGAAGGTGGTAGCCTGTTTTCGAGTTATTAGCTTTGAGAGCTTGCGGATAAGGAATGGCACTGCACTGGGGTGAGTGCAAGTGAAGCAATTGTACGTACCGTACCACCAGAGGTAGCCGAAGGTGGTGCCGAAGCCTGCGTTCGAGGGATTGGTGGTTAGCTTGGATCTCTTAAGAGGTTGTATAATTGGCTTGGGTTTGCGCGGATGCGGATGGACGAAGCTGGGGATTGGCGCGGTGGGATGAAGGTAATGGTGAGATTTCGAACGCAGATTGTGGTGGCGTTCAGGATTGGATGTGTGGGCAATGGGTCGGATTATGAGGTTGTTGCGTGAAGTTCGAACGTGCGATTGGCTGGCTGACTCGCGGCAGGCAGGCAGGCAGGCGTAATGGGGACTCACCGAAGGCGGTGCTCAGGTCAAGGACCAGAGTGCGGCGGAGCATCTGTTCATTTGGGAGCTGTTAGTTCTGGAAAGCTTGCGGAAAGTGTGGTGTAGAAGCTGTGCCATTGGCATGGCATGTCATTATGGCATGGGGAGTGGGACGATCGGGTTCTGATGATTGCAATTGAAATTGAGAGTAAGGGAAACACATACGCCGGTGATAGGACGGATGGTGGCGGCCATTGTGATCAATTGGATGCAATTGTACCCGGAGATCTGGTGGTGGTGGTGGTGGTGGTAGTAGTGGTGGTGGGAAAGTAGAGGAAAAGAAAGCAGCAGCGGTGATGTCGAAGTGAAAGTCGGAAGTTGAGGTGAAGCTTTCCCGGGCCGGGGTGTAGTAAGCGACCGCTGTGAGTGGCCTGACGGTTGGGTTGGTCCAAGGAGATCCCCAGTACTAACTTACCACATGCTTAAGGGACAAGTGCAAAGTATTACATTATGTGACTATGTGGAGCTGGAATCCAGAGCTTTTCGTACTTTGCTGGTCTACTGGCAGTCTACACACACTGAATGCTCAATCACAGCTGAGTGAGGCAGGTTCAAGGTAAAGGCTACTGTTGCTGCCTCAGGTGTCACTCAATATGCCAATGCCGTGCACGTGATCACCAATTGCGGCGGGCGTGTTTCCCGCCCGGCTTCTCTGCTTCCTCAGCTCTCTCCATCATGACCATCCCAACGGCGCCATGGTCGAGTCAGAACCAACCATCAAGCGCTCCGCCTCTTCCTCCTCGTCTGAAGATGGACTGAATCCTCCTGATGCAAAGCGCGTCAAGCGTCATTACCACCACCATCACCGCCTGCAGAGCCCCGTTAACCCAGCTCTACCTGAGCCCGCCATCGTCGACGATGCTTGTGTCGACCAGCTCCTAAACCGGTCCATCAGTCAATATTTACGAACATGCGGGTTTGAGCTCGCAGACCCTGCTGCGCTGGACGCCTTTCGCAGGGTGACTGAAGAATGTATGTTGGATTTGCTCCTGGTCTTGTATGGATCAAGTACAAAACCAGGATCCGCGACACGATGTTGACACAGAGACCCGCATTTAGATATCTTAAGCGTCGCATCCTACGTGCGACAATCCATGCTATCGAGCCGGCGCACCCAACCCATACCTCATGATTTCGACGATGCCCTACGCCGTCACTCTGTTCCGTACACCGACCTCCTCCCACACGTGCAACCTCATCCCAAACTCGACCCGATCCCGACACCTCAGCCCACTCCGCCGCCAGAAGAAGACTCCTTCAAGGCCCTCCCATCCTCTGGGCCACAGCTTAGCGTCGAGAACGACCACGTTCGAAGCTCCTACATCCCGAAACACTTCCCCGCCTTCCCCAGCAAACACACCTACCGCCATACGGCAGTCTTCACGGAACGCGAGCAGGACGCTCGGAAGATTCGCGAGCGCGCTACTGAAGACGGCCGGCACGGAGAGGAGGCTCTGCGCAAGCTGGCGCGGGCGGCCTTCAAGGACAACCAGTTTGGGTCCTCGGCGCGCGAGAAGAAACCCTGGGGCCGGCGCGCAGAGACGATGGATAGTATGTTTGAGAAGACTGTGAAGGGGCTGGCGAAACGGATGCAGCGGACCGCCACGGTGCCGGGTGCGGCGGCGCCCATGGAAATCGATTCCGGAGCTGGGTTGGATACGGAGGTCAAGCCGGTTAGGTCGAAGCTTGCGTTGAGCATCGAGCTGCCGCCTATTATCAACTGCGAGCGGGAGTTCTGGCGGCGGGCGCCGTCGTCGGGGACGCGGAGAGCAGTAGAGGATAAGCAACCTGCCGTGAAGAAGGAAGCTCATGATAGAGCTTCCCGGGTGGACAGCTGGGTGAGCACTTGAGAAGGAGGCAACGGGCGCGGTTGTATATGGTGGGTGAGTGCAATGGCAGTATGCACGGGCGTCATGGGGGCGTTTCAGCTTGTTTTCTTTTTCTTTTTGAACCCTTGCATTATTGCAGTGAAGATACCCATGGAGTAGAGTTTTAGAATCAAATTCAAAATGTTTGGCTAATCAGTGACCATCCACATAATTTCTCACCCAAATAACGCCAGAATCCCCGCACTCCAACTCCGCATACAATGCTAGCGATACAGACCAATGTTCATTGTACATTTCATGCCTTCGCGGCCTTCTCTGCAGTGACGGCCCGTTTCCGCTTTTCTTCCTCCTTTTGAAGCCTTATTGGTTCCCATGCGGTTGTCTCGACGGTCAATCCTCCGGCGCATCTTATGCGGTAAAGTAGAGTCAGCAATCCCAGCAACGACAGCGAAAGCAGCACCACCACCCAGTGAAGGATCTTTCTTGCGACCAGGAAAGGAAAAAGTAACAAGCCAAAAAAGTTACCTTCGAAACAGGCGCACAACCGGTTGACAGACGATGACACCAGGCTTTGGGATCCCGCCCTGAGGAGGATTACACGAGAATTGTACCATCTCCAGCAGCTGGCATTTCTCCAGATCGACGGGGCCGCCTTTGCGACGCTTCTCTTGGAAGTTCTTGGTCGAGATGTTGACGTGCTCAGGGAGGGTTTCGGCGTGGAAAACGGGGACAAGGGGGGCCATCGTCTATGAGGTGGGTGTGGTAGGTAAGCCTTGACCGAATTGATGCAGTGGTGTCAGGATTCGCAGAGCTAGATGGTGTGAATTTCGGGTTGCGATTCGGTTAATCCGTATAATTATTAGCAGAGGATTCAAACTCCAGAGGCGTTATGCGGAGGCGGCGGAGGAGAGTTGAGAAAGTCGAAAGGTGAGGGGAGCGGAAGGCTTTCCGGCGGCCGGTGCGGACGAAGCTGGTGGGTAGGTGGATTGCCATTGCTTTGATTTCGCCATCTTCCGTCGATTGAAACGGACAGCAACCAGGTGCTATACTACACCATCCCGGGAACCCCAAGAGGATCTGCAGGTAGTACTTGGGAGTCGAATATGGCGGCTGCCTTTGGAGAAAGGTTACTGACGGAAGTGCATGAGGAGAGGTTGGACGAGGTCGGTATTGGGTCATATTTATATCCCGATGCGTGGGGATGGTCAGCGCCAGGCATCGCGCTCTATCTTCCACACACTGACTGATCGCTATAGCTCTTGCATGATTTCAGAGGACTATACCAAGAACGTATCGGAAGGAATACCCTGAAGCCTAGCTTTGGGGTCGACGAGCTCGACAACCTCCTGGGTATTTTCACCGCACCCGCTCCGTCGGGACAGCATCGAGCAGACACTGCACAGGAAGAACTTCAGATCACCTCAGAGCATGACCCTGAGGGTGAACTGGCGCATAACCAATCTGGGATAGATGCCAATACTCATTCTGCCGGTATCACAGTGCCTGCTTATACGAGTCATGCAGACCCCGTCTTGGAGATATCTAGCACGTCTTCTGCAGCAGGAAAGACCAATTTGCTATACTATCTGACTGCCCTTGCTGTTCTACCGGCCGAGGTTAAGGGCTTTCAGATCGGAGGTCATGACTCGGCGGTGGTCTTCATAGACACTGATGGACGCTTTGATGCCGAGCGACTGCGTACCGTCCTCCGCGGCATTGTTAAGGTTAAATGCGGAGCACAGGATATGAGTCGACTTGACGAGGAAACGGAGAGAACGATCGAGTCTTGCTTGGAACATGTCCATATCTTCCAGCCCCAGTCTTCGTCGGCCCTTCTTGCCACACTCCAGCAGCTGGATACTTACCTCCTGGATCTCGCCCGCCATGTATCTAGCTCTCGAGCACTTCGGCTGCTATTCCTGGACAGTGCCAATGCTTTTTACTGGCAGGATAGGTTGCAAGACGAGGTAACTCGCATTGAACAAATAGGGCGTCCGGCTGCAGAGATCGAGACCGATCGCCGCAAGAAACAGAGCTTCTACCTCTTCGCCATGTACACGGACTTGGTGAGGGAGTTGAAGCGACTGCAGCGCGTGTTTAGCTGTGCAATTGTCTTTACTACTACTGCTGCCCCACATACAATACCAAGCCGTCATTCACCTGGGTACCAACCCTCTGGACCATATGAGCTTTTTGACCCTCTTGATGCGCCTGCCTTCCGGAGGCCGTCGTTCCGATCGGCTCTTCCAGCACCGTGGGGGACTTTCCCTGCACTACGAGTCGTTGTTCAGCGTGATCCGGTTCGGCCATTTCCTGCCGCGATGGGCTTGCAGGAGGCTGAAGAGAACGCGGCCAAGCGGCAGGAGGTACTCAGACGTGGCCAATTCTGTGGTTGGGTGAATATGTGGGGACGTGAAGACTGGCCGCGGAGATGGCTCGAGGGTGTTGAGGCGCTAGATGGGGGCATGTTTTTCTTTCGGATGGGTAGAGATGGAGTGCAATTCGGGTAAATTCTATAAGTGGGTATACACGCTATGTGCAGACGACGCTGGTCTCATACATCCACAACACTCAGCTATACAGCTTTGCAATTGCTTCAACTGTTGTGTTGCCTCCGCTGAAGACAATGCCCACATCCCAACCGCTGGGAGCTTCCTTCTCCACGAGACGTCGAAACTCCTCATTATACAGACAAACCGCCAACCCCACGACGGCACTCGGCTCAACAACAGCCTTTATACGCTCCAAGACCAACCTCATCGCGGCCTTGATCTGCTCCTCCGTCACGGCAAAAGCACCAGCCACCTTGTTCTTATCTGCAATCACCTCCCAGTTCAAGAGGCCAACGGGTGTGCGCAACCCGTCCGCAATGGTTAAGGTCGACACTGCTGAAACGCGTTCCCCGGCCGCAAGACCGCGCCGACAGTCATCTGCACCCTCGAAGCTAGGCTCGGCACCAAACACCTTGGTCGTCTTATCAGAGAAGAAGGTTGCGACACCGGCATTGAGACCACCACCACCGACCGGAGTGATCACAGCATCGAGCACCGGACTTTCCTGGTGGACGCTCAGATGCGGCTTCTCCGTAACAAGCTCCTTATACTGCTCCTCCAGCTCCAGGGCCGTTGTTCCCTGCCCGCAGATGATGTTAAAATCATCGTACGGTGGTACCAAGATCGCCCCCGTCCTTGCCTGCACTTCTTCGACGACAGCCTCCCGCTCCACACTCGTCGATCCACTGAAAATGACCTCTGCGCCATGGGAGCGCGTTCCCGCAATCTTCGACGGTGTGCTAATACTGGGCATAATGATGTAGGCGGGGACATTGAGAGTGGAGGCGGCGAGAGCAAGGGCCTGAGCATGGTTCCCTATACAGCGCAAGCTGGTATTAGCTTGATGTGTGTGTGGTTTGAGTTCTTAGAAGTTAGTGATCTTTAACATACCTGAGCTATGCGTTATCACCCCGCGCTTCTGCACTTCCTCGTGACCCCGCTCTTCGATAAGTCGCAGCAAGGCGTGGAACGCGCCTCGGGCTTTAAAGGCGCCAATCCGCTGGAAGTTCTCACATTTGAAGAAGAATCGAAACTTGGGGTTGGCGGGCGATTGTCCTTCGGAGGGGGTCCCGTTCAAAGCTTCCGGGGATTGCGGGGTTGAAGCGATGTTGTTGAGGGTTTGGTTGGTGAGGAGAGGCGTGCGGTGCACATAGGGCTGGATAAGGGAATGGGCATCCTGCACAGCGGACGGAGTGAGGGATTGAACTAAGACTTTGGGGTCGGACATGATGAGTTTCAGTGAGCTTCGTTCTGAAAAATGACTTCAGTCAATTCGTCATGTCAGATTTGGAAAGGTGAGGGGGTTTGTTTACTAGGTAAAGTGGAAGGAATGAGCGAGTCTCCGGATATAATGGCGCAATTAAGCATAGACACATGATGTCCGCGGTGAATTCAATTCCCCACCACTCCGGCACCGGAGGGACCACACTCCGTACAACATGCACCAAGTCCCGAGCTGCAGAACACACAGTGTGAGTCATTCATCTAGATAGGGAATTTCAGGGTTACTTACTCTCAGCAACTTGATGGTACAGCTGAGTATACGGGTCCAGGTGTACGGAGTAGAAGTGCAGTGCGTTGTTCAACAGACCCGATCGGGGATAGTGCGGGACTCCGGCGGGGATGACAGAAACACGTGACCATCTCATGCCCGAAGGGGAAATTTGGAGGGGCACTCAATTTCCCCTCGGCCTGGCTGGATTTCCGCCGACGCATTGTCCAGCTCCTTTTTCTTTTCTCTCCCTTCACTCCCAATTTGCATAGACACGGTCAGGATGGCTGAGAACCCGCCCGCGGCCGAGAACAAGCCTGCCCATGAGCAGGACATTAACCCCTGGTCCGTGGAGGGTGGACGCGACGAGAACGGCGAGGTGGTTGCCATTGACTACGAGGCCATCTGTCGGTATGTGCGATTGCACTGCTCATCTTGGGCTAATGCTGACGGACCCTCGATATGTACAGGAAATGGAACACCTCGATCATTGACGAAAAGCTTCTCGAGCGTTTCGAGAGGGTTACCGGACACAAGCCGCACCGCTGGCTCCGCCGCGGCTTGTTCTTCAGCCACCGTGACTTTGACCGGATCCTGACCCTCTACGAACGGGGTGAACCTTTCTTCCTCTACACCGGCCGTGGGCCTAGCAGCGGCAGTCTGCACCTCGGTCACACCATCCCCCTCCAGTTCACCAAGTGGCTGCAGGATGTATTCGACGTCCCGCTCGTGTTCATGCTTACGGACGACGAGAAGGCACTGTTCAAGGACAACATCTCTTTCGAGGATGCTCTGGGTTTCGCCATGGAGAACGCCAAGGATATCATTGCGCTTGGGTTTGACCTGAAGAAGACTTTTATCTACAGCGACTTGAAATACATCAGCAACCACATCTTGATGAACGCCTGGGAGTTCTCCAGTCTGGTCACTTTCAACCAGGTCCGTGGCGCGTTCGGGTTCAACGAGAGGTATGTTCTCCTGTATCGCCGCTGACCACTCTTCTCCTCGTTTCTGACACCTGTCTTATTTGGTTGGTAGCACCAACGTCGGCCGCATCTTCTTCCCCGCCGTGCAGTGTGTCGCTGCCTTCGCGACCTCCTACCCCGAGATCTGGAAGGACGAGCCCCTCCAGGAGCGCACGCAAGAAATCGCCAACATCCAATGTCTGATCCCCATGGGTATCGACCAAGACCCGTACTTCCGTCTGCTGCGGGAAAACGCCCACCGCATGAAGTTCCCGTCCCCCAAGCCGGCTCTCATCCACTCCAAGTTCCTCACGGCCCTGCAGGGTGCCGGCGGCAAGATGTCTGCGTCGGAACCCAACTCGGCGATCTTCATGACCGATACTGCCAAGCAAATCAAGGTACGCACCTCCATCTCTTCAAGCATTTAAGTCCCTGGCCCCTCACTGATTCATTCTTCTTTCTTGTGTGTCACAGACCAAGATCAACAAATACGCCTTCAGTGGCGGCCAGGTTAGCATCGAGGACCACCGCCGCCTGGGCGGCAACCCGGACGTCGACGTCTCCTACATCTACCTGACCTACTTCGAGGAGGATGATGCCAAGCTGGCCGAGGTGTACGACAGCTACAAGAAGGGAGATCTGCTGACGGGCGAGCTGAAGAAGATGACCATCGAGGTGCTGCAGGAGTACGTCGCACAGTTCCAGGAGAAGCGCAAGGAGGTCTCGGACGAGGTGCTGGCCGCGTACATGAAACCCCGCAAGCTCGAGTGGAAGGGAAACCCCAACCCCGTGCCCGCGCCCCCGGAGGAGACGCTGGCCGAGCGGCCAAAGAACGAGAAGAAGGAGAAGAAGGAGAAGAAGGAGAAAAAGGAAAAGGCGTGACTAGGTC